TAATCTCACGATAAAATATGAACAAATGAGGGGTTGCTTCTTATGGATGAACAAAGGAAATGATTCCTTGAGATGGAATCTACTTCTGATAAAGATGATATGAACAATGTTGAAATGACAACAATTTAGAATAGTACATAAACTTAGTTGATAAGGCTAAGGTCTGAGAGAACTGACTCCAATTTTGAAAGAAGTCCTGCCATGGATAAGATGCTATCAAACAACACTGCATGCTATAGAGAAATCTTTTGTGAAAGAAAGAGTCAATCAGTGCAGCAAACCTTAATGTTGCCTTATTTTTAAAAATTACCACAACCACTTAACCTTCAGCAAACACCACCCTAATTAGTCAGCGGCCATCAACATCAAAGTAAAACCCTCCACCAGGAAAAAGATAACAATTCACTGAAGGCTTCAATGATGATTAACACATTTTTTGGCAATTTTTAAAAATTAAATTATATACTTTTTTTAGACTAATGCTATTGCACACTTAATAGACTGCAATATAATGTAAACATAACTTTTATATGCACTAAGAAACTCAAAAATTCATGTGAACTTTATTGCAATATTTGCCTCATTATGGTGGTCTGGAACTGAACTTATGCCTGTAGTAGTGTGATAGTAGACGAAGGGTTGTAAGCAAAAGAGTAACATAACAAGTTAGCACTAGAGGAAAAATACCACTTCAAATGAAAGAATAGAGAAAAGAAAAATGAATATCAAGACATCAGTTAGGTTCTTAGAATAATATTCCATGCAAAATATAAAGGTATATGGTGCTAGAGATAGAGAGAATGAATAGGTTTGACCCACCTGAGTTCTGCCTTATCACATACCACCCAGGTGACCTTGGGGAAATCACTTAACTCTCTGGCTCTCAGATTTTCAAATGTAAATAGGAATAACAACTCCTTCCCTACTTCACCCTGCAATGGCAATCAAATGTAAATGAAGATGCACTGTAAACCATAATGGTTCTATGAATATAAGGTTAACCTTACTGCTCAACCCCACATGTGGCTACTCTTTCTTCTGTCCCCCTCCCCACAACCATTACTCATATAGACAGTACCAAGATAGAATAAAATGCTACTTTACTGGCTTCATATATGTTGTTTATTTTTCTCATACAACTAAGCTGTTTCATCTTTAAAAGCAGCAGACTTCTTGTATACCTCTCCTCTAGATGCTCCAATGTTTAGCAAAGAGCATAACACATAGTAGGTGCTCAATAAATGTTTGCAGACTAAATGAAAGAATGATACTCAACAAACACCTGTTGGCTAAATGATTTCTCCAGTTTACCTTTTCTTTCTTCCTAATAGAAGTTTAATATGAATCATGCACTAATTTGAAATGTTCTCGCCTTTTTGGAATGATTAAGATTTGTGGCTCCATAAAGGAATCTTTAAAATCATGGACTGTGTATCACCTCTATGACTCGTGAGTTTCCATAAAACTTCCTTGGTGTGCTGGGTACCAGCCCAAAAAAACCTGCCAAATTCAGGGGATGTGGGGAGGAAGACAGAGAGGAAGGTTTGGACCCATCTCACCAGGGTTCTGGTCTTGTCTCTAATACTTGTTAGTTCCAGAGCCTCAATTTCCTCATATTTCAAATAAGAAGAATAGTTGTCCTTCCTGTCCCACAGTGACACTGAAACAAGATAAGGAAAGCTAGATTGGATTTTGTCTCTTTGTTTTTAGCTCTAAGTAACATGCATTCAACAGCCATTAATTGAGCACCTAATTTGTGCCAGGCAATGTGTTAGATACTGGAGACACAAAGATGAATCTCTCTAAGAGCTCAGCTTATAGTTTAAAAGGGGCTAAACAAGTCAACAAGTAAAATGCAAAGATAAGGAGTAGATAATGATCTGGGTGAAGATGGTGGGCACTGGACAGTAGAGAAGGGCTTCTCACCATCTCTTTCCTCTGAGGTTGGTAAAAAAGGGCATAGACTGTCAGAAGTCACCAAAGAAGACACTCAGGAGACAGGAATGTTTAAGTTTACTTTATAAGGTGGGAGTTGGGCAGGTGAGGAAGGTAAGAGAAGAGTATTCCAGACAATGTAAACAACAGAGATATATCATTCATTTATGTACTCAACAAACATTGCTTGAACACATTACAAGCAAAGAATTCTAGAGAAATACAGATAAACTAGACATAACCCCTGCTTAGCGGGCACACACTTCCCAGATGAGCAGGCAACCAGGTAAAGGCACTCGTAATCCTGGGTAACCTCACGATGCCCCATGTGTAGAAAATCTAAAAACTTCAGGCTGCTTCTTATCAGTTCCAGGTGGGGTCATGTGGAGGGAGATATGACCGGAGAGAGACAAGGAACAGAGCACAAGAGCGGCAGCAGTGGCAGGGGCAGCGTCCCTTTCTTCTTCTTATTCAGGAGTCCTTAGGCTGCTTACTGAACCTCTTCAAGGCTCATTCTTTTTCCATCTTCAAAACAGAGCAATCAAAACTACCTTAAAAAGCAGTTGTCGTAAGGATAAAACGAAGTGATGGGTAAAGCTCTTCAGTATAGTACCTGGACCACTGTGCCCAAGAACTGTTAGCTGTCTTTGTCACCATCATTGATACCACATTATCCTTACTGCTGCTTTAACTAAGAGGAAAGTCATCTCAGGCAATGTGAATGACTTAGGGAAAAGGAAGTAGAACAACTGCTCTCGAGCTCTCAACTTCCTGGGGTCCATGAAGAAGAAAAGACAGACCAGGACATGTTTTATGCCACCCTTTGCCCTAGACCAGTGTTTCTCAAAGTCTTACATAGAAAGAACCCTAACCAGGAGAGTGAGTGAATATTCCCAAGAAGTGCCTCCCATCATGGACTTTGACTTTTCAGTATTTTATCTTAGAAATTCATTATCCTCTATAATCTGCTCATTTCTGTCACCATCAGCACCACCATAGGAAACAACCAATACACGTTTCTAGGCAATGTTGTGACATTCTAAGTGCATTAATTCATTTAATCCTCACAACAATCCTATGGAAGTAGGTACTAATATCATTCCCATTTTACAGATAAGGAAACTGAGGCAGGAAACATTAGGTAACTTGTCCAAGATCACAGACGAATAAACATTGTAAGTGGGATGTCCATCCAGACAGTCTGGCTGCAGAATCTGTGCTCTATGACAGGTCGCCTACCTCTCTCATTCCTACGGTGTTACTACCTCTCTAACATAAAAATGCTTCCTTCCTTAAGCCTGACAGCAGCAATGATGTTCCACATAGATGCAACATGCTTATCCCGTGGCTTCTGGCACATGCTCACATAATCCATACTCCATGTGAGGAATAGGCCTAAGACCCAAGAGCTTCATTCAGGTTTGCTGTAGTGTTAACAGCATTGCTAACGACAAATGCCCACAGTACTTATGCAGCTAACAGGGCTCAAACAGATGATAAGTTGGCCACTACTGGGAGATGATTAAAAATCTACCATTAAACCAAGCTGTACTCAGAGTAGACCTTTTTAAAAGTAGCTCTTCATCAGGGGATTATATTTTCTTCTTGATAATTTCCTTAACGGCAAGCAAGGCTGTATGTTAAAAGAAAAAAGAAGACCCAAGTGCAAAGAGTAGAAGATTCTTACCAGATTGGGGCTGAAAGGAGGGGAGAGGAGAGGAAAATTAAACGGGCAAACGAGAAGATGCATCCCTCTTTCATTCCTGTATAATGCTCTGGTACTGCCTACCCACTCCCTCCTCTCTCTGCCTTCTTCTCCAGGGCCACTAACAGCAGCCCAGAATTCATTAAAGTTTAAACAGACTGATCAATAGGGACAGAATGGTGAATTGTCCATCGGCAAATTACCAAGCACTTCATGAATATTTAAGGAACTAAACTAGGAACAGGGGAAAGAAGGAATCCAGGACTTTATTTTTCCCTATGGAAAAAAAGACAAAAGGATCTCTGCCATGACTGATCACCAAGATATAAAATCAAAGTCAAGTGAAACTTTAAAAACAAACAAGAATTGTGAAGCACTGCTTCCCTTCCCAAGCCAGCGGGCTGCATCCAATCCAAGGCCACTCAAGGTGAGCACATGCCTGGCATCAATGGGAGACACTCCAGTCTGACTTCTTTGCTTTCTCAGAACACACCATGTTTTCATGCCACCATGCTTTTGCATATGCTATTCCCTCTGCCCAAAATGCAGTTCCTCTCATCCCCATTTGTCCACTTGGAAGGCAGGAGAGTCCACTGATTAAGAGTGCACCTTTGAGGCAAAGGTATAAAAAGGATACATTGGACTCTGGGGACGCGGAGGAAAGCGTTGTGGGGTGGTGAGGAATGAAAGACTACACATTGGGTACAGTGCCCACTGCTTGGGTGATGGGTACACCAAAATCTCAGAAATCACCACTAAAGAACTTATGTAACCAAACACCACCTGTTCCCCAAAAACCCATAGAATTTTTTTTTAATTAAAAAAAAAAAAAAAAGAGTGCACCTTTGGAGTCAGACTGCTTTGTTCTAGTCCAGCCTCTGCTACATACTGTGTGAACTTGAGTAAGTTACCTAACTTTTCTGTGCCTACATTTCTCCCTCAATAAAATGGGGGTAGTGATAGTACTACCTTTATAGGGTCACGTGAAGATCCAACTACACAGTGCAAGTTAACACATTTTACACAGCCTTTGGCACACATGAAAGGCATGGTAAATGTTAGTAAGGTGATCAGTGAATTCTTCCACATGTGGTCACACCTCAAGCTGTCCTGTCTTCCCTGAGCCCCCTTCGGTTAGCTCTTTCCCCAGCTCCAGCTATAGTTACTTTGCTCCCAGCTCTTACCATGTATTAGCGGTTTATCAGTCTCTGCCAGTAGACTGTGAGCTCCTGAAGGGCAAGGCCTATTTACCTCTACATCTAAAGTTACCCCAACATAGTTTGTGGCACCAGAATGACACAGGACAAACACTCAGCAGGTAGGAACATGAACAAGGAGAGAACATCAGTTTTGCCCATACCTTTGTAACAACACAGCACGCAGCCCAGATGTCCTCAGAGGACTGCTCATGGTGGTTGAACTGGGGCTCCCACTTCTTAATTGGCTGGTCTGCAAAAGCCAACAGGACCCCACTCTGGTCCACCAGAGCTGCGCGGACACTGCCTGTTCCAACATCCACACCCACATAGTACCTCTCTGGTTTCTGTTCTCCACCAGACATTGCAGTTCCTCCACCTATAGTAAGCAAGAGTAAAAACCAAATGAAGACCAAGTAGATCTGCAAAGACAGTCACAAAACATCTCAAAAGTAGAAATAAAAGAGTTACCACTATCTAACTGGTAGCCATTTGTTATTTATTCATCCAACAAACATTTTTAGCGCTAACAGTATACTAATAAACATTGAGCTACATGGTGGGTGAACAGGACAGATATGGCCTCAGACATGGCATTTCCATTCTTGAGAGAGAGTCAGACATTAAGCATTTAAGTACATAATTATTTAGGCAAAGTTGTGATGAGTGCTATAAGGGCAAGTACAGACGAGTTTCTTCTCAGTGAATTTCAATCAACAAGGACAGAAGTCACGGTACTGAAAAGGAACCTTGTCCTCCTAGTCAGTCATTCATTCAACAATTACCTACTGAGTACCTCTTATGTGCAAGCACTGTGAAAAGTGTGTATGTCCCCTCTACTCTTCACTATGACTCCAGAAGGTGAGGCTATTTACATTTCTATGTTACAGGTGTTCAAGGTGAGAATCCAAGAGATAAGTAACTTTTTGCTTAATGCTAGCTAGGTCTATGCATAAATTCAAACAGAAAATGTACATTATTATAATGATATACACTACACTGATTAAGAAGCAAGTCTATGAGAAGTTAAGGAATTTAATCAGTTTCACTCAGGGGCAGCCTGGACCTAAAGTCCCACATTTGTGCAATCCCAAGTCTCATGCTCTTTCTTTTGTTTCTTAAAAGCTTTCAGTATAGGTTTGGAGAAGAGGCAAATATATTGCAGCTGTGTCATGAAGTGACTGGGAATTGGGAAGGAACCCTGAGGAGACAAGATCAGGAATTAATTAGACAATCTGTTTTCCTTACAGACCCCTTGTGAGTTACAAGGAAATCTGACCAGAGAACACTCAGGAATTCCTTGGCCTTCATGGCTGCTCTAAGTCCCTTTGGTCAGATTAGCCCGCATGACATGGAATCTCATAGAGGCTTTTATTCTCCAGATTGGCCTTTGAAAGAATAAGAACAAGCTCCCAAGACAACTGAGCAGGTGAAAGCCTTACAACTCTCCAGGTGAGCTCCAGGTAGTCCCACCGCCCAGAGTCTAATTTCAACCTGGGCAACCTTCTGTACCCTTCAACTTCAGAAAGAAAATGTTTCCCTAGCCAAGTCAAAAGTGGAGATTCTAAAAGAAAATCAACCAGCAGATGTTCAGTATACTGCTTCCTAGATATTTATTCCAATAAACAACAAATAAAACAATAAAAACAACCCATTAAAAGTAACTGTTTCTGTCTTAATCGCAATGATTCCCCAACTGAATTGTAACCCTTTTGGCTTTGTGGCTCATGAGCAGGTGAAAAATAAAATGGAGAAGCGACAGTAATAACATTTGCTCCGTTCATCACAGCTTCGTCAGACCCACACTGGTGTGTAACCTCAACTTCTCTCCCTTGCTTACATTCCCCTTGGGGACCTCCATATGACCATTAGCACCAGTTTTCAAATCATTCATTCCATCATTCATTTAACAGTGATACCTTCTCTTCAAGCCATTATTTGAAGAAAACAAAACAGATAAAAAGAGAGTTGCTCTGAAGCAAAGATCACCCTTGCCCCACCCTCCAGCCCTTCTCCCCAGCAGTCCCTCTGTTAGGTCCTCTCTCAGGACAACTGAAAACCACCAGCTTTGAGCTGTGATATAGCCCATGGCCTCAGCTCGGCATCTCACGTCCTCCACGGGCTCCCTCTGCCTGCCATCCAGCCCTGCCTAATACAGTCCTGCTCATTCTCACTCCAGGCTACAGACATCCTCAAACTCCTCATAGGCTCTCAATTGCCCCCAACTGCTAAAGGCCTCCCCGATCCTTTGCTCATCCCTTTTTAATTCTCTCCTTTCCTTGTCTGCCCAGTGACCACGGAATTATATTTTAAGACCCAGGTCAGCCATCACCTCTCCTTGGAAAAGGCTTCCTTACCTTTCTCCCCTTGCATACATACAAAGGATGCCAACATGGTATCGTGTCCCTGCTTTCTTTTAAAACTTACCACTCTGGAATCACAATTTTATTTTTCTTTCCATGTCTGTCTTCCTAACTGAATCTGAAAAAAATGAACTTATCAATTTCTGCATCCCAAGCTCCTTACACAGTGTCTGGCACATAATAGGTTTTCAGTAAATGTTTACTGAATGAACAACTGCATCAGTGAATCAACAGAAATAAGGATGAGCAGGTCCATGCCTTAATAGTTTGAATTTCTAAGTTTGTACTTATATGTGCTAGTGTTTTACCTTATTTTAATCTCTTATGACTCATTCTTCTAGTTCACAAATACTTACTGTAGGCGACAACCACATTTTATTCATTCTACGGCACTCATTTTTCCATATTTAGCTTCTCTAAAATCAGTGCGAACCTTACAATCAATGGTATGTTACAATTAATTGGTATCATTTCCTTTCTTACTTCATGGTATACGAAATAATGGTGCATCTTGCAATCGGTGACATCTGAGACTCAGAAGAAATGCAGAAGACAGTAACACCAGGAAGCCTGCTGAGGATACACTGATTGACAAAATAGGGGCAATGCCTTCGCTGAGTTTCCTCAATTTTATAACCTGCAAACAGGAAGAAGATTGAAGCTAGCCACTCTACCTTCCCTCTCTACCAACCTCTCACAGCTGCTTACTTTACTTGGAATCCCCTCTCTTGGCTTCCCACTGTCTCTACTGCAAAGGCCCCCAGGGGTGCTGCTCCTTAACACTGATCCTAGCATGCTAACAACTCCTTGCCCTTGGCTAGACCTTTGCAAGACTACTATAAACACTTAGGAAGAAACAAAGAAATAAATAGGAAATGAAAAATCTATGCAACACCCTGGCTTACACAGACCTGGCCAGCCAGCATCCAGGCTTGTCTCTACTCCAGCCAGCTCTGATGACAAGAGAGATTCCCCATGGGGCTAGCCCAAGTGCTCAGGCTTGGGTTCCTCACTTTTGACTCCCTCTCTGATGAAGAGAGTAATATGAGAAAATACATCATCTTACCACCCTACCCACATCCTGATTCCTTTCCAGTAAAATGCAAAGAGGCAGATTTCCACTCTACAGTTGGCCCTGGACTTGCTCCAGTTCTGGTTTCTGGAAGGAGCCCACCCTTCACAAGAGCCCCCTTTACATGGAGAATGGAGGTGTATGATTACAGTTAATTCCAGCTGCCGCCTGTGTCACAGCTATAAGCCCAGTGCCTGGCATACAGCAGGAGCTCAGTAAGTCCTTGTAAATCAGTGAATGGGTGTCTTTAAAATTCATCACTGGGGAAATAAAAAAAAAGATACCATGTTTACCATGTATCTGACATTCTGCTAAGCAGCTTGATTACAATGCCTGACCACAATTCTTGAAGACAGTAACTATGATCACTCCCATTTTACTGATGAGGAAAATGAGTCCTAGACAGGTAGTCATATTACTAGGCAGTAATACAATGGATAGTAATCCATTCCCTCTGGTTCCATCAGCCCTAACCTTTCTCAGGATGCTCCACTGCCTCCTGCTATTCCTCTATTTACTAAATGCCCATTTGTCAAGGACTCTGCTGGGGGCCTCTGCCTATTGTGCCTAAGGTTGGCTGACTCAGAACCCAGGCTATTCATCTTCAGAGACTGACCCTTCCATAATACCAGGTGGCCTGCTTCCAGCAAACTATGGATTTCTATAACACATTATCAAGGCACCATGCAAGAAAGAGTCAAACTGTCCCAGCGTCATTCACACACATCACCCAGTTCATGTTTTCCTATGAAATAGATCCTACTTGAATATTTCGGGTTTACCACTTTTCCCATTATTATAGTTCTAACTGATCTCTATGATTATTTCCATACCTGGAAACTGAAAGCAGGGACGTTCAAGCCCTTGGGCAGCTTCCCTGAAATTCGACCTGTGAGCTGCAGCAGAGGACTTTCTGCATCACAGGTCCCCTGATCTTCCCCCTCTATGCCCTTTGTTCCTGGGTCACGAATATGATCTGCTGTGTCCTGGACTCCTAATCTTATGCAACCAGTACCCCTTAGCCTCAAAAAGTAAAGTAACTGCAAAGTGGAAAACATTATTCCTTTTTCTAGTTTGTAAAGAAAAAAAGGATAAGGATCCTCATCGTGTCCCTCATTCCCATACAATGTTAATCTCATTGACTGAAACCCAATCAGCTTGGTAAACCTATCACCACTTTATTATACCTCAGCAGGGTGGAGTAATTTGCCCAAAGTGACACAAACAGTAAATGGCATCAGGATTTGAATCAGTCTCTTACCGCAAGTTTAGGGCTCCTTCCACAACATCCAACTAAAAATGAAAGCCAAACCCTTTGATTACTGCTTTAATAAGAACAACAAATGCAGCAAGAAATACCTATTGAGCTCTGAGCTGTAGATCACCACGTGACTCCATGATTTCATTTAATCCTATAGCAACCCTGTGAGGTAGGCAGTATGAACCCCATTTCCCAACTAAGGAAAGACGTTCTCAGACAGGAAGCTGTTTAAAGTTGCATGGCACAGAAGCAGAGGGGCTGGGGTTTGAGGCTAAGTCAATGTGACTCCAAAGCCCGCATTATGAATGGTGAGAGTCGGAACTGGGGTTTCATTTCATTCTTTTTAGGCAAAGATAAATACTCTGAAAAGAAAAACAGCTGTTAGGGATATGGGGAGGGTGGTCAGGCGGAAAGAAATGAGGGCATGGACTGTGGACGGCCAAGAGAAAGAAAAATAACAGAAATTCAAGCTGTGCTGCGCACAAGTCCTGGGACATATCTACACTTCTCAGTCTACAAGACGTTTCAAAGCACAGAAACAGCCTCCTGTCCAAGTCCCCAGCATGGACAGGACTGACTTTTAGCCCCTATTTATGATCAAAAGACTGTTCTGTATAAATATTTATACAGTTCATTAAATAATAGCCTGTATAAATATTGTTAGAAATCTGCCACAGGAAACCACAGACTTTGTAGCTGATTCTTCAACAAACGTGCAAACTGCTCAAATGCAGTGTGAAAAAAGGAAAAGGGGACCTGGAAATAGAGGGCTGTCCTTTGCAAACGGATTTTAACAATCCTAAGAAGGGGGTACAAGCTACAAATACTCAGCTAAAAACCGATCATGTGGGGATTGTTCTTTTATACTTTTCTCCTTCTTTCCCTCTGAAGCATCTAAGAGCATTAAGATTGCTGCCTAGGATGACAATCTCCCAGGAGTGAATGAGCTTACCCTATTTCTTAAGGGGCCACTCCTTCAGGATCTATTTGGTGACAGTCCACAGAAGCAGTGTCCCAGAAATCTGGGAAGGAATTCAGTATCCTCTTTCAACTTTGATCTTTGGACTTTGCTGGGAGTTGATGTATACAAGTCCTGTGCAATTTATTTAGTTAGTTATACTGCAATGAGGGATTTGCTAAGATTGAGAAGGAAAAAGATAAACAATGAGTTTAGCTTGCCCACCTCAGTCTTCTTAACAGAAAGGACTGAATACCACTTTCAACAATTCTCACATGCTCTAAGACGGTGGGAAAATTTGAAATGAGAAGGAAAGAGATGATTTGGCAAAAATGTTGGTTCTCTGGGCTCTACCAACAATACCCAGGAAGAAAAGAACAGCTTGCCAACCAAAACTTTACCTCTAAACATGAAAATTTCTTAGGGCCTCCTCTTCGGTTCTTTTTCAGCCTTTCACTCTAAGGGGAGCCATTTCTAAAAGTTTTAAGGTTGCCAAGACTGGCTCAAAAGAAACCCAAACACTTCCACGGTTCCCCAAACTTTTAGAGTCTGTAGCAATGGCCCAACACATTTTTCATCTAGACATACCTGTGGCTTGGCGTAGTCTGTAAAAAGGAGTATAAGCATATTTTCAGTCAAGTGTTCATTTTGTGGCATCCGAAGGAAGGAAGGGAGTAAGCGGGGAATCCATTCCCTGAATACTAAGAAGCTGAACCAGGCCCTTATCTAGCTCCTGGAAGAGCAGAATAACCTTTTATTCATCACTGATGTCTAACACTAATGCCTAACAAAGGACCTGGCTTGTTGCAGATCAAGAAAAATTCAAAAGAATCTGAGGAAAAGGAAGAGGGTGAAAGGAAAGTGTGGTGGGGAGAGGGAAAGAAGGGAAATGGGGGAAGGAGAGGAGAAAAGAGAAGGGAGGATGGGCAAGGAGGAAACTGAACTGGCAATAAGTGGAAGCCCGAGTGATTCACAGATAAGAAACTAAGAAATCCCTTGATTGATGGGAGGAGGGAAAAAGAAAAAAAACAGCACACATATACCTTGGCTAACAAATGACATCCACTAAATTCCTCCTGCCCCAGAAAAGTCTATTAACATAATGCAGAGAAGGAACAGATTATGAAAATGTCAGTTCTAAGAGACCCAGATGTAAATCCAAATAAACAAAACACAAACCAACAAAACCCTTTCTCTATTCTGAGGGTCAGCCACTCACACCTGGAATGTTTCCTGTCACCAACTGGAAAGACCTCAAGACCCCCAGCACAAAGAAGTTCACATGTGGGACCCATGACATGTAGGTTCCTGGAGCCAGCTGGCTAACAGGCTCTGAAGATCCCAGACATCATAGAACATGAGAAAACAACATCACACACAATCTCTGGGCCCAGAAGTTCTCAAAAGAAGCTCCAACAAGGAGTGCAGAAGTCATCCTGCTAAGCAATGCAAGACTGTGTCTTGACAACTGAGGACACAAGCTGGGTCTATCTTATCCACCTCTGTATCCCCAGTGCGTACATACACAAATAAATTCAATATGTATTAGGTACTCAATAAGGAGCTGATGAATGGAATAACAAATAGTCACTTCATTTGGGAGAAATGAAGGCAATTCTTCTCCACAACACTAAAAAATAAATCTTCAATATCAGGGTCACCATATTCAATTCAGAATAGGAAACCTGATGCTTGTCCCATCTGTGTCTACCACTGACTGACTTGGGGCAAGTCTCTTCACTGATGTCTCTCTTCACAGGTATGAGACTCATGAATTCTATACAACTACTCCAAGGGGTTGTTGTGAAGATTAAAGGAAATAATGAGCACAGAGCGCCCTTTAAAAGGCAATTCCTTTATAACAAGAATCAATGGCACTGTGAGTCCAGAAGGAAAATTTGGGTGTAATAGTATAGCATCACCAAAGACACTCTACAGCCTTCTTACTCAAAGTGTGGGCCTCAAATCAACCTTCACTTCCAACACTGAATCACCTCCTGAAAACCACATCTTTTTAAAATAACGTTTTATTAGGCTGGGCGTGGTGGCTCACACTTATAATCCCAGCACTTTGGGAGGCCGAGGTGGGCAGATCACGAGGTTAGGAGATCAAGACAGTCCTGGCTAACATGGTGAAACTCCATCTCTACCAAAAATACAAAAAATTAGCTGCGCGGGGTGGCGGGCACCCGTAGTCCCAGCTACTTGGGAGGCTGAGGCAGGAGAATGGCATGAACCCAGGAGGTGGAGCTTGCAGTGAGCCGAGAGCGCACCACTGCACTCCAGCCTGGGCAACAGAGCAAGACTTCGTCTCGAAAAAAATAAACAAATATATATATATATTTTTTTTTCCCCTTAGGTTTTTGGGGAACAGGTGGTGTTTGGTTACAAGAGTAAGTTCTTTAGTGGTGATATGTGAGATCTGGGTGAACTCCTCACCCAAGCAGTATAAAATGAACTTTGTAGTCTTTTATCCATCACTCCCTTCCCACTCTTTCCCACTGAGTCCCCAGTGTCCACTGTGTCATTTTTACGCCTTTGCATCCTCATAGCTTAGCTCCCACTTATGAGTGAGAACATACAATATTTGGTTTTCCATTCCTAAGTTACTTCACTTAGAATAATAGTCTCCAATCCTATCCAGGTTGCTGAGAATGCCATTAATTCATTCCTTTTTATGGCTGAGTAGTATTCCATCGTGTGTGTGTGTGTGTATCATAGTTTCTTTACTCATTGATTGATGGGCATTTGGGTTGTTTTCAGATTTTTGCAATTGCTGACACCCACATCTTTTAATATATGTTACCTATACCTAGTCATTCTCGCCACATCTAACAAGCTTGATTTCCAGCAAACAAACAAATATTAAGTGCTTTCACTATGCCAGGATGCTAGGAATAAGAGGCTGAAAAATACATTATCTCTAATTTTAACAAACTGACAGTCTAATGTTACGGTCTGAATGCTTGTGTCCTCCAAAAATGTATGTGTTGAAACCTAACCCCTAAGGTGATAGTATTAAAAAGTGAGACCTTTGGGAGATGATGAGGTCATGAGAAAGGAACCCTCATGAGCAGGATTAGTGTCTTCATAAAAGAGGCCCAAGGAAGACTCTTGCCCCTTCTACCATGTGAGGACACAGCAACAAGTCAGCAGTCTGCAACCCAGAAGACAGTCCTCACCAGATACCAAATCTGCCACTGCCTTGATCTTAAACTTCCCAGCCTCCAGAACTGTAAGAAATAAATGTTGCAAATTAGCCACTACTTTTATGGTATTTTTTCATAGCAGCCTGAATATACTAAGATTAATGTAAAGACCTGAATTTTGAATATCAAATGGTGATGACTCAAGTTATTCCTCATTTATATACCTCAAGCAAAACCTAATGCACCTAGTAAAACTGCATATAGTGGTAAAGTGGCTTCATGCTGCCACCAGAATTCTGATCACCCATACTTTAGGAATGAGGCATCCCATACCAACTCCACCTTTTTCCGTAGAATGAAGAGAAGTTAGTGAGTTAATGGAGGTACCAGTTTACTGCTTTCATTACTGTTCCAACAGTTCTGACCAACGAGGTCAGAAACTCAGTATTTTTCAGGATTTTGGGAATCCTTATGCTCTTTACTGAGCCCATTTTTAAAGACTAACAAGAGGTGATTGGAAGAGGGACATGGTATTAAATCAGAAAGACAGTAGAAAAGTTGGCTATCTTTTTAAATTTAAAGTTAGATTCCAAAAGGCAGAAAAGACAGAACCTACCAAATCCCCATGTGTGCCTCACAATGTGGCAGCCACAATAATCCAAACTGAGCCAGTTTTGGATGGTGAACCGTCTTCAATGGTGGCCAGAAACCATCACCTTCCTGTTTGGGTGAGGGAGAAGGGACAAGATGGAGGAAGGTAAACAAGAAGGCACCGCCCCTGTTGCTTCCAGGTTCTTCCTCACCAACTTTCCCGCGCGCGGGAAAATGCAGCCCATGCCCGGGAAGATGCAGATCAACTGAGCATGCACCAGGTGACATCAATCCGAAGAGATCGAAATTTACCTGGCCACGCCTATGGAGACGCCCCTATCACACCCTTATCCCGCCCACTGCCCTCCCCCTTCCAGTACCAAAGCATAAAAGTCCCCCGCTGGCAGGAGCCAGTATGACTTCTTCGGCCCCCATTTCGTGGACTGGAGACCCTCACCCGAGAGCACCGGTGCGACTTCCCTGGCCCCCCCCAACACCTGAGGACCAGAGAACCTCGCCCGAGAGTGTGCGCATATTTGCAATAAAAGACTGCCACTTTCTTATGTACTTTGGCCTCATGTTTAATTATTTAGCTCTCCTAAATTAAATTAAATTAAACAAAACACTTCCAAGAGTCACACGGGTAATGCCCAACAGCAGTCACAAGGAAAACATAAAATCCAAACTTGGCTGAAGCCAAATGCACAGAACAAGTCCTAAAGATATCATGGATGAAAAATCTGACTCATCAAATGACATCCCCAAACTCCACCAACAAACATCCCCTTAAAGAAATGAAACTTCAGATCTCCCATACCATCTTCCATAAAACCCTGCTTACTCCCTCCCAAGGGTTCTGTTCAACCTTGTGTTCCAATAAAGCACATTTACTTCTTTATAATGTCTTCCTGTGTTGCCGTACCAAGCCATTCCCTTTACAGAGAAAAGGAGAGGAGAACCCACATTTATAACATCTACCAAAATATATGTTGTTTCTCCCATCTACACGAGGAAACTGAAATGCTAAAAGAGTCAATATCCTGTTGATAGTCGCAAAGCCCATAGAGGGACAAAGCCATATTAAAGTACAGGTTTGCCAAAAGCAATTGCAAAAAATGACAAAATTGACAGATGGGATCTAATTAAACTAAAGAGTTTCTGCAGAGCAAAAGAAACTATCAGCAGAGTGAACAGGCAACCTACAGAACAGGAGAAAATTTTTGCAATCTACCCATCTGACAAAGAACTAATATCCAGAATTTACAAGGAACTTAAACAAATTTGCAAGACAAAAACAAACAATCCCATCAAAAAGTGGGCAAAGGATATAAACAGACACTTCTCAAAAGAAGACCATTTATGCAGCCAACGAACATATTTGTAAAAGCTCAACATCACTGATGATTAGAGAAATGCAAATCAAAAACACGATGAGATACTATCTCATGCCAGTCAGAATAGTGATTATTAAAAAGTCAAGAAACAATAGATGCTGGCGAGGCTGTGGAGAAACAGGAATGCTTTTACACTGTTAGTGGGAATACAAATTAGTTCGAGCATTGTGGAAGACAGTATGGCGATTCATCAAGGATCTGGAACCAGAAATCCCACTTGACCCAGCAATCCCATTACTGGGTATATACCCAAAAGAATATAAATTATTCTACTATAAAGACACATGCCATATGTTTATTGCAGAACTGTTTACAATAGCAAAGTCATAGAACCAACCCAAATACCTATCAATGATAGACTGGATAAAGAAAATGTGGTACATATATACCATGGAATACTATGCAGCCACAAAAAGGAATGAGATCATGTCCTTCACGGGGACATGAATGAAGCTGGAAGCCATCATCCTC